ATAATAATAATAAATGCAGTCCTAGAGTTCTATTAACTTCTCTTCCAGTAGGTGGAGCTGTGCCCACTGGGCCAAGCTTCTGCTCTCAATAGGTGGGAACCATTCACTGTGCAGCAGCTCTTTCTCCTAGACTGGGCGGGTCTCCAATCCTGAGTGTCTAGGGCCTTGTCTTGTGTTTCCTCAAGCCAGGCCATGCTCACCTGTGGCGCTCACCACAATACTGGCTACACGCCAGGTCTGCTGCTCCTGGGAGCCCTGTTTTCATGAACACCTGGGCTCACTCTCCCTGTTTGCCTCCCTCAGACCCTAAGTTTATAGTGCTTGGGGCTGAGATCCCCTAGCGAATTTGCTTGCCCTCCTGTAGCCACGCCCCCGGTAGCTGGTGCAAGAGACCTCAGTTGTCAGCACTGGTGGGAGCGGTAGCCGGGAGTTCCGCGCCGCGAGTCCCGCGCCACTCCTGATTCCCTGGGTCTGGTTATTGCGTTCACAGGAGAGCTGGGAGTGGCCCTTAAGGTTTCCCCGCTGTGTGGAGAGAGATGGTAGGGGATTACACACCTGTTGCGCTGGTTTCAATGCAGTTATCTCCTCCGCCCGTGACGCCATTTCTCTGCCATGGTGATATCCCATGCAAATGGTGACCGTTTGTTCCCTTTGCCGGATGACCAATGCAACGGGTGGGTCCTGACTGTCTCTCCCAAACCCCCTTTCAGTCCTGTGGCCACTGCCTATGAAGGCTCGGTTGGCTTTTACCTCTGTAAGTTCCTAAGGGCCGGCCAATTATTTCAGCGGGATCGTTAGTGCTGAGTCACACGAAGCAGGCGAACCGGAGCTTAATTGCCTCCGATTCGGGCTCTGTGTGTGTGTTCTGAGGGGCCCAGCCTGTACACCCCAGATCCACGTCAGCTCAGCATTGCCTAGTGATCCTGAGCAAACAGCATTTAGACAGTTTACGGCTCCCTATGCCCGCGCAGTTGAAGATGTCAGAGACTTGATCTCTCTGCGCCTGCCACCATGTTACATCTCCTCAGTAATATTCATGTTGCCCTTATAGCTTCCTGGTATAAGCAAGTTCTTGGGATTATACAAACTGCTGCTTCTGTTTCCAGTCCAGATTTCTAGAAATGAAACCCTGCCGCCGTGGCCTCCGTCTCTGGGCCGCGCTGACGAGCGTCACGCTTGTCTGCGACCGTAGCAGAGCCGCCCTGGCCTCCGCAGCTCTTCAGCCCGGTGCCAGGCCCCAGGGGCCCAAGCGGCTGCCGCCGCGGCTCTCCGTCCCCCTCCTCCGGAGCACGGGTCCCCTGGCAGGGAGGTGCAGAACGACCCCAGAGCAGGCTCCGCCCGAAGGTGCAGCGGCGAACAGGCCACTGAGATGCTCGAGGCTGCAGTCCAGCCTTCGGAGGACAGGGCTCGGCACGCAGCCCAGCTCCAACCTCAAGGTGCGGCTGCTGGACAGTGTATACAGAGCCATCAAGACAGCAAGCAGAAAGCAAATGGCGGCTCCCGCGGAGTGGATTTTCGGCACAGAAACCACAGCCCCGCCAACAATCCCAATCCACAAACTCTCCCTGTATAAAAAATATTCAAAAAAAAAAAAAAAAGGCAGGGCGCACTGAGCTTTCTTTGCCTCGGGTACTTACAATCCACTGCTGATTACACATTCAGCTTCTCTGCCCGGAGCGAAGGGAAAGAGGAAGCAGATGGGAGCAAAGCGCCCGCGGCTCTGAGCAGCCAAGCGTCTCTTTTTCGATTTCTTTGTTCTTCCTGCTCCTTGGCAAAGTGGTCCACTACAGATTAACGGTGAAAGGAGCTTTAACAGACTGTGCGAAATCTCTATTAAAGCCGCTGCTTTGAGCACCACACTCAGCACTTCAGCAACCCCTGTACGCAGCGGCCATCTTCTGTCCACATTCTGTGCACTGAATTTTGTAAGGTTACTTCTTGAATGAAGTTGGGGAAGGAATTGAATGACTCCTCAGTGTTAAAAGGCAGAGCAGAACAGATTGTCAAATTATGCTCACTGTTTTTAATCGCCAATGCTATATACCTGTGTTCTGCATGTGTTTCTTGTATGATAAATATCATGGGAATATGATTGACACAGCCTACATAGCATATCACCTGAGAGATGGACTTTTAATCTTAATATAAAAGATGGGGGACACCGCACATGTCAAATGATAATTATGAAAGTTGAGTATAGGGTGCATGGGGAGTTTTATTGTTTAATCCATCCCTATATGTTTAAACATTTTTGTAATAATCTTTTTAAAAGAGAAAATGTTGACTGCCTCATAAGGAGAGGGAAAGACCAAAAAGAATGGTTGACAAGGTTGGGACAATCTGTCAAAACTAGATTTGAGCTCTCAGTAAAGACATTCTGGGAGTGTAATTCCTTTGAGGTTGGGACCTTGGAAGGAAAACATTCTATATAACAGGAAAAAAGGAGGAAAAGAGGAATTGATAGTGAAGTGTTTTTCATGCCAAGATCCCATATGAATGGCTTCAGTTCCTTTGTGGTTTATGAGTCCAATACATCTGCTAAGTGGAGATGGCCTCATTTTGAAGAAAGTGCAGAAGGTTTGAAAAAAATGTGAGTAGTATAGAAGAGTGGATAAGGAATCAGTGACCTAAGCTCCATAAGGATTGTTAACTGAAACTAAGCATAGAATAATAACTTGGGGGAATGAATGAGTGAATTATCTCTATTTAGTGCTAGTGTGTATCATGAATTTAGGGTGGTTCTAGTAGATTTATAAGATTTAAATCCAACAGCAATCAGTCACTTATAGGAAGACATTCCTGGAAAAGGTAGAGAGAAAGGGTTTGGCCAGAGAGTAAGGATTAAATGGGGTTGAATTAGGCCCATTTGGAGCAGTGCTAAATGCAGGTTGCCTGAGAGATCTTGAGGCCTACCTTGAAGAGGGAAGAAATAAATTAGTAGATAAATGAGTAAGTGCAAAAAATAAAGACTGGGAGTTGGAAAGCTGACAAATTGAGGGCCTATAATGGAAGGATAGAGGGTGAGATCAGAGGGAAGAAAGTCAGGCTATATTACTCCAGTGGCAGAGGTGTTCCTGGACATGGCTGTAAGTGAACTGGAATAGAAGGACCCTAATATGGGTTAAAAGGAACTAAGAGGTAAATTATTGGTAGGTCTTTCCAGATGGATGTTGGTGACTGATTCCTTACCCCTGCAAGTCCTTTGCCCATGGAACCCCTGCCACTTTTTTTTCTTCCCAGAGCCTCTGCAGAGTCTACTGTCTGAAACACTAAGCTTTAGATACTGCAAATCAATGGCATAACTCTGGAGTAAAAGAAGTATGGTAGAATGCAGGGGCTTTGGTACATATATCTTTTTCATTTCTATTTTTACATCCAGTATTCATAAATGTCTCTGGGGAAAAAAAAAAACAATTCAAGAGTACTCTGAGACAATGAAACCCATTATTTTGTATAATTAAAATGCACTAATTAAAAAAAAAAAGCCTCTGGGAAACTCAACCCATTTTTGAGTCCCAATCTGTGCAAGTGCAGTTGCCTTCCCAACAGACCCCTATTTTAACAATAAATGTGTGCTGAATCTTGGTTAAAAGGAGCATTTTATGCAGGTCTGTGATAAACCCTCAAATATCTGTGACTCTGGTGCATGGTCCAGGACTCAACTCTGGACTGTGAGCTGCAGGTGATGGAGGGAGATCGACCATGTCTCTAAGAAGCCCATGAAAGTAAAAAATGACGTCTGCATCCTGGAAAGTGAACTGTACACACTAAGGGCAAGATCTTGCATGTTGACACCAAGGTTACCCCCTTAGTCCCACCTGAAAAGAGGTATGCCATGTTTGACAACAGCCACACAACCTCATGTACACTTCTGCCAGTATGACATCAGTAACCACTGTATCACCTGATGAGCCTCAGGGAAGTGCTGGCAGGATCACACTGGGAAAGAGTAGTTGTTCACAATGTGGAGGTGATGAAGCATAATCCTTTCTTCCACCAGAAAGGTCATTTTTCCCCTCATTTTTTTGTTTTGTTTTGGTGTTACTTTCTCTCTTTTTAAAAATTTTTTAGTTGATGGTGCTGAGAATTAAATCCAGTGCTTCACACATGCGAGGCAAGCACTCTGCCACTGAACCACAACCCCAGCCTCCTCTTTCTTTAAAGCATCTTTATTCTTACCTGAGAGTAAGGTAACTGCCTGGTTAAAATTCCTATCAACAACAACTGGCTAACCTTTTGCTTTGCAAAAATACCAAGTCCAGGCAGCATGAAAAAGTAACCAGCAAGGGGAAACTCTTAAGTGATTTTCCAGTAAGGAACCATTTAAGGAACCACAATGGCAAATTCAAAGTATGGTTATTTATAAGATAATGCCTTATAAAAACTTCTTAAGCAGCACCTACCCTGCTCCTAAACCCTACCCCAATCACCCAGAATCCACTGCAGCAGTACCCCCTAAACATTCTCAAGCAAGTTTCACCCTCCTGTATGAACTCCTGATAACTGACATGTTTGTAAAAAATGACTAAGCCACTCTATTAACCATTCTCAAAATTGTTCCTGTCCTTCTCTCTCTCCCTGTCCTCATTGTAATTGGACACAACACCTTTATTTTTATGTGGTGCTGAGGATCAAACCCAGCGCCTAGAGGTGAGCGCTTTACCGCTGTGCCAAAACACCTAGCCCCTTGACTCTCTCTTTAGATATAGAAGACCTATTTTCCTCACTGCAGGGGGAAGGTGTGGGATGCCATATATAATGCCATTAAGGTTAAGCTAAGGGGTAGGAAGCAGTGCCACCTCCTCAGGTTTCAGCAGGAAGAGGAAAGGTGTTTTTTGAAAACATGATATCCCTTCCTTAATGAGAGGTCCAGGAGATTTGGTCCCCTTTTTAGAAGTCCAGAGAGGCAATCAATAAAAGCTGAACTACTTTCTCCCCTTCCCTAAACACAAGGAGTAGGTTGCCAAAAACCCAAACCCCCAACACAAGAAAAGACACCATATTGTTAGAAAATTTATTGGGGAAAATCAGTATTCTCAAAAAGGGATAAATTATTTGGGGGGAAGAAAATTTTCTTTCTGAAAATTCTGGAGAAGCATTTTCTGTTTGAACAATAGGGACAACTCTCCCAACACAGTGCCTTTAGCAAAAGGAGCAGCAGCTGGAGCCACCTGACCAACTCTATATTTGCATGTAGTATTCAGATGGGGCAAGGGTTCCTTGTGCGGCATGGATGGGTGATGCTTCTGACATATTATCTTGTCCTGTACTGTACACTTTTCTGGGGCTGTCTGCCCCTGTCCATGACCCATTTATTATTCCCTATACGATACCACTGACCAGCAAAGCCAACTTCTTGGCTGCAAGATTTGGCACTTGGCACCTTAGCACAGGGAGTATTGACATTGAAGTCATGTTTCTGGATGGGTTCTGCCTGAATCGGCAATCCAGTCTTGTGCTGAATTTTCCCAGGCCTCATGGGGGTGGAAAGAGGCTTTTGCGGGGCAGTGGCCTCTACTCCATGCCGACCTGCTAGTTTCTCCTCTAGGATCCCAATGTCTGTCATGATTTTCTGAGCTTCAGTATTCCCAGTAAAGGCAGCTCTCTTCTTAGCTGGGTTTCTGCCTTGCACAGATGATGAAGAGCTGCCCTTTTCCAGAGAACCTTCTTGCCCTTTGCCTTTTATACCAAGATAAAGCCTTTGAAAAAAGTGTTTGAACTGGCTTTTAGAAGGCTGTCCCTTCAGTGATGGGGCTGAGGAGGACTTGCTCCCAAGTGCCTCCTTTAGTGTTCTGTCTTGAGGGTGGGGGAGCTTCCCTCTAGGTTGGCGTGTCACCAACCCTGCATCCCCTCCACAAAACTTGCCTGTTTGGGGTACCAGAGGGCACACCCTTTTTGATGCTAATGGTACATTCTTGTCCTGACACTTGCATAAGACATGTGTAGGGATCCAGTGTTCTTGCCCCTGCTCTATGTTGATCCCTCTGTTGTCACATTGGGCTTGTAGCACCTGGGGAGCTGCCATGTCCCCACTAGAGGCACTATGAAAATGAGTGAAGGAAGTCAAGGTCTTGGAAGTCAAGGTCTTGCAAGTCAAGGTTTTGGAAGCTAAGGTCTTGGAAGCCAGGGTCTTGGAAGTCAACTTATCTAAGGCCAGAGACAACTCAGTAGAAAAGGCTGGAGCCAGGCCCCGCTCCCTGCTCTCAATTTTCATCTTCAACTCATTAAGCAACTGATTTTTAAGATCTAATGATTCGGAATCTTTGAGAACTGATATTCCTTCTGGGGGCCCTTCAATGGTTAGAGTTGATTCAACTTTACTCATATTCATATCTGTCACTGAGGAGCTTTCTGACTCTGTGGTCGTCAGGCTGTTCGTAGACTGTGATCGAATAGCACAGAGCTCCTTTGCCTTGAATATCTCCCTGGACTTGTTAGACATGGGAAAATATTTTAAATTCTTAATCATTTTTCTCTGGATATTTTCTATACTATTGCTGGGACTCACTCCCTTATTCCATGATTTGGGTCTGGCCCCAGCCTGCTTTGTGGGCAACTTTGGGCTGCATTTATTGGCTATTACAGTCTGTTTCTGACTGTCTTTATCTTTGTCACTGTGTGGGAAGGGCAACGAAGCCCGTCTGTCACCCTCAATTGCCTTGACATTCTCTGTAAGCTCAGGCTTGGTGTGAGAGGGTGAATGTGTTAGGGCCCTCTTATTTTCCTTGCTCACAGGTGAAGTGGCAGAAAGAGGATGATCTAGAGTAGGGCCTGAAATTATTGTTCCCACCTTGTTTACGTGAAAAGTACTAATGCTTTCTTTAAGGGGCTTGGAGACCCCAATTTTGGAATACTTGCCAGAAGTAAGACTGGATGAGGAGGAAATGTTGGAGCTAACTGAGGACCAGGATGGGGTTCCTTTCATTTTGAAGATGTCTATGGATTCCTGGACCTTTTGAGGAAGCCCACACATCATCCTCTTATGGAACAGTTTAATATGGTCTTCCAAGATCTTTTGTTTGTTGGAACCAAGGAAGGATATATCCTGGGAGGTATTGAGGCCCTTGTCCTTACACACCAGTGGTACCAAATCTCTGTGTTTCGTTTGGCTAAGGGATTTCTCAGGACTAATCAATACTGGCTCCATAGAATGCAATGATCTATTCACGGTGCCAGGCATCTGACACACATGGATTTCCTCAAATTTCTTGCTCAAATGTATTTCTAGGGCTTCTGTCAGTTGTTTCTGAACTGAGCTCTCCTCTGAGATCTTTGATTTTTTTCCAAAAAGACTATTCAATTCGTTTTTTAGGTTTGTCTTAAAGTCAGAGTCCAGATCATTATCATGAATTTTGGATGGCATGAGAGAGTGTACCTCATCCTGGAATCTATGAATCCTCACTCCACCATCACTAACCTGAGATGAAATGGGTGGTGACAAGGTAGGGACCGAGAATTGAAGCTGGTCCTGGGGTGGGACAGGAGATTGGCACTGAAGCTGGTCCTCAGGTGGGACAGGAGATTGGCACAGTGCTTGGGTCAAGGGTTGAGATTGGATCTCAGGCAAGGACAGAGTTGGGGGAGGGGGTAGAACTAGAGATTCAGGGGCTTCAAAGAAAGTGGGCATTGAATTGAAGCAGACATAGGTTGAACAGTCACCTGAGACGGGAACTATAGATTTCAAGGACTCACTATGCAAAGATGGGAGACCATAGAAGAATTGGGTACATTTTTTAGGTAAGTTATCCTCAAAGGTCTTAGGATCTGAGGACTGGTGGTCTACCTGCAATCCCTCTGATTTGCCTTCACTGCTCTGTAAAGGAAGGGAGACAGGTGAGTCCTGTTGCTCAGCAACTGACTCTAACCTTTTCCCTGAAGAATTCAATTGGTCGTCTGGCTTAAGTTCTTTTGGAAAAGATTTTTTTTCCTTTTTCTTTTTGTTCTGCATCAGGAAATCACCCTTCTTTTTTATATGTCTCTCCAGAAGGGCCAAGACATCAGGGCATAGAAATGAGAGGTTTCCGTGCTCTACAAGGATGGCTGTAGTATCACTCTCAAAAGAGGCCTCAGGAGGATGGAGGTCGAGGAGGTTTTTGTCATCATCAGAGTGCTCCAATTTAGATGGAGACAAGTTTTCAGCATGAGACTGGTTTCCAGAGAACTCTGACACTGGAAGGCTTGCACTGTCAGTGCATGTGGTTGTTGGGACATTAGTAGACAACCCATCAGGGCTATCCACCAGAGACAAAGGGGCTTCTGGTTGGAGAACAGGTTTTGCTTCTTGACTGTCAGTTGGTGGGGGAAGGGTTGGAACAGGTGGGGGAGGAGTTGGAACAGATGGTTGAGGTGGGATATGATCCACTGGCAATTTTGAACTCAAGGGAGAAGGCTCTGGTGGCAGAGAGTCACCCAGTAATGAGGGTCCAGGTAGGTCCATTAAAGGGGTAATTTGGTCAGGTGAACGAATAGAGGAAGGAAATAGAGTTGGCTCAGTTAAAGGAGTTGAAACTGAAGCTCCCAGAGGGATTGCAGAGACAACAGCGGACCGAAAAACTGATGACTCTCTCACAGACGTCACGGAAGACACACGGGACACAGAATTAAGAGCATTTTCCAAGAACGCCTTACAGATCAGTTGACTGACCTTAGCTCCTGTTCTGTTATACACCCCACAGAGCGGGCATTTACATAACAGTTGCAGAAAGTGGAGGAAATCATTATTCTGGCTCATGGGACTGTAAGAGAAAGAAAGCCAAAGCTGTAACCAGAACCAGTACAAGGGAAGCAAGATCTGCAGTTCTATGGGTGGTGGGGAGCCCGCTACCTGCTCTACATTCCACACATCTATGACCTCACAATACCCTCCCCTCCCAAGTTCTTTATTCACGTACCCATGGCTATGGCTATCCCTCCTGTGATTAGGGCATGTTTCGAAGAATGCCTGGGGGACTGAATAAAGCATGCTAGGAAAGGAATCAGTAAAGGGAAATGACTAATCACCTTTTCACACTAGAAAGCAGCTTCCTCCACTCCTCTACTTCTCTCCGGCAAGTTCTCCGACCTGGAAAACCAGGACAGTTGGTTATATATAGTAAAGGTAAAAACACAGGTTATCATTCAGGAGTTTTTACAGGAAACAGGATATTAAAGTCAGAAAGCCCTAAAAATCTGCAGATAAGGTCATAAGTGTCAGGGATAATAGTAAGAAGGTTCACAGGTATATGTGGTTCCATTTAGAAAGTACTTTCACCTGTACCATCCTACATGCTGCTCAAAACCACCACCTGAAGCACAAGGATCAGTAGCTAACTCAGGATGAATCTAATCAGCCAAGAATTAAAGTAGTTTACACCATGTCACCAGACAGAAATTCTGACTCCAAGACAATCAGGGGTCTTTGGACATCTCACAGGGCCCCTACTTGGCAGTAAATGTCCAAGGCCCAGGTCCATCACTACTTCATTCACACCCAAGGAAGGGTGGGCAGGGCAGGGACTCTGAGGAATCTCTCAGGTCTCACTGCCTTCTCCTGAGCCTCTCCTCTGAGACCCTGTTTCCTGAGAGAGACTGCACCTAGAAACTGACATCCTCCAAGATCATGGAGCTGTAGGGAGATAGGAAAGTTCACCCTTATAGAGCTCAGGTTGAACAGGCAGAACCTTACCTTTAGATACTCCATTTCTCCTTCTCTTTGTTCCCTGACGCTGAAAACAAAAAGAAAAGAATGAGGGGCTGGGGCTCATTTCTTTTACTCCTTTTGTTAACAAGCTTAGACATTCATTAGGCAAGAATTGGACAACTCTTCATTTTTAATTAGTAGAAATTGTATTCCTTCCTTTTATTAATCTTGAAGGGCAATGAAATATTTTCAATTTTTTACTTCTTTGATAATTTCAAAGGACATTTTTGTCTGTGAGATTCCACATTTGATGGTCTTAAACCCTCTGCGGAAGGAGGGCATAGAATCTGAGGCCAACAGTCACGTCTGGGCTCCCCCAGGGAACCCTGTGTCCTGGGGCAGAGCTCAGGCTACAGACTGTACTCTGAGGTCAGCACTGCTGTTCTGATCAGCCCAATATGAAGGCTGGGTGAAGCACATCTGACATGGGAATGAGACTCAGAATCTAGTCAGAAGAAACCCGTCCCCTTCAGAGAAGCCACACTCTCTATCCAAACCAATCTGGAACCCTCCATCACACCCCAAAAGATAGTTTGTGAGCTTCAGATGGAAACCTTAGTCCTTCCTGAACCTCTGACTTCTTTCCCTAAAGAGTGAAGTTCTATCTTGTCCTCAGACTTCCCAAGTCACATCTTCTTTGAGCCAAGCAAACATTTAGTAATGTGAGAATGGAAATAACATATCACATTTGACATTTCACAAAACATTTCACATTTGACAAAATCAAGAAACTCCCTTGGGAGTTCACTCTGCTTCCTTACCTTCTTCTGGATGGCTTTATTTTTCTCGAGTGTTGGTGAAAATCGTTTCAATACCTGAAAGGACAGGTATAGAAAAAGCAACACCAACCCACCCAAAATGGTACTTTTGGGATCAATATCCCAAAGAATTGAACCAAGATCAACCATGGTTCAGTATGGCTATTCAGCAAAGAGAAAACATTCTTCATCCTCTGAATTGCTCGGTTGCCTAAGGCAAATGAGTTCTGAGGGTGCCTGGGCTTCTCTATATCTCCAGGCTTGCATCACACACCATTGAAGAGTCACAAAGGGAAAGGATTCTGAGGGTGGGAGAGAAGACTTGAGGAGGTTGTGCCCCTCCTCCACCTGCCCACCAGCCAGCAGATCCCTCTGCTCAGGTCTGTTGTTCCATTTCCCACTCGACTCTTTCCTCATATCATGCCTTCATTATCTCAGGGAGCATTCCTGTTTGTTTCATGTGTAACCAAGATGTTTTACATGAGTCCCTTTTTACTGTTTGGATCCCTTGACTTACACCCCACCAATTCCACTGCCTTGAAAATCTGACATACACTGCCTGGAATTTTTGCTTGTACCAAGACATTTACACTCTTGGGTCACTTACATCCTTAAATCTATCTTATCTACAGAAAGCTTTTGCTTTACTCTAACTCACATGTAAAACTTAACGTTCTTTCATACTTATGTAGTTTTATAAGTTTCAGTAGCAAATTTTTGTTTCAATCAGCCTGTAGTGTCTTCAATCACAGTGGCTCACTCTCATTAAAACTAATAATTTGTTAGTCAACACTGTGAAACAAAAATAAACATAAAAAAATCTAAATAAAATTGAAACTTCAAGTGATCTTGGAAATAAGTTTATAACGCTTGTTTTTTTCTGAAGTAGTGAAGATTAAACATAACAAAGACTGTTGGATGTGCTCTATTTCCCGCCCCCTGATAAATTGATCCAGTGTTTTCAAATCTGATAATCAACCATCTTCTAATTTTTTTTCAATTCTTCATTCATTATTTTGATCTAACTTGCTTCTAGCTACCTGAAATTCAAATATTCCCTGCCTCCATATCAATTTCATAATGCTTATATGACTTTCTCAAACCAGGAAGAGGTTATGGTGTGCTAAGGAATTGAACCCTCAGTCCTTGGTGGCAGGGAGCCACCTAAAATGTCAGAACCTTAGGGCAGATTCTAGTCTTGAAAAGCATTACCCTTGTGGGACACATAATTTTGATATTTTCCTAAGAAAATAAAGAGTGTCTTGCCATGAAAAAAGCTATTAAGATCTGTGCTATATAAGCACCCTACTACTAATGGAAAATCAACTGCCTGTCATACATGATTGTTTGGATTTCTTTTTCTTTTTTGGACATTGACATTTTTTAGCATGGTGTTATCTAGGTTAAGACTGATTTGCCTATTCGTGAATGTGAGTGAGAGGAAAAGCTGGAATGGCACCTCATCCTGATGACAACTGCTCTTGATAATCAGAAATGAAAACAAATAAAATAATTTTTACATCATTTTAACCATTTGGCGTCAGTGTTAATGGATTATTTTAATGTTTAAGCAATTAACTCTTTAAGATAAAAACTGGTACAGTAATTTAATTTGATTTTTCTTAGTTTTTCATAATCTATTCTGAGTCATGGGAAGAATTAGGTAAGAGAAAACCTTTGTTTGAAAGTGAAAAAAGTTACCCAGGCAACCTGTATATGTTTCCAGTGTGCTGCTTAATCATCTTTAACAATAATCACTGTCATCAGTTATCACAGAAAGATGACTACAGAACACTCTGCACTATTATCATTCCATCATTTTTCTGCAGATGAATTTGGTACAAAAGATTTATTGTATACAGTCATGAGGATTATGACATCAAGCTTAAATATTAAGAGGCAGGACTTTTTTAATATAGAAAATCATGAATTTTCTTTTTACATCCCTCATTTACTTAGTTTATTGATTTGACAAAGGCCTGTGTTTTAACAGTTAATAAATGTTTCACAGAGTGTTTTAAATAATGTAGGCTTGGTATTTGAATACAGTTTATAGCTTCCCCAGTTTCATTTTACTGGTAGCGTGTGGTGGGAAGGGAAGCCAAGTCATTGTGTTTTGTAAAATAATCATCTCAATAAAGTTTTGTCAAAATTTCAGAAGGTTAAATTTATAATGTGGTTATTTAACTGCTTAGTATATCCAGATCTATATCTATTCATATCTAAATCTGTATACATACATATATATATTTTCAAATATGTTCCATTATTTTACATTTTATGTTCTTTGAAAGTTGTTTAATATCCATCATTTTTTAAGAGTTGGAATAATCTTAATTTTTTTTTTGATGATTTACCCCAGAATATTCAGAAATGTATACATTGATACTAATTTTATGTCCAGGAAAGTAAATGTCACGCTGCGAATGTTAAACCTCTCGTACCTGCTTTATGATACGTGGTAGTGACCTTGCTTTATCAGAGCTGTTTTTAATGATGTTACACTAGAATGTTTTCTTTTCAGCTGATGATTGAGAAGCTAATAAAAAAAAATGGTGCCAGGTATCACAACAGTAACAGAACTTTGCTGTTTTCTCGGGTTTTGTTTTGTTTTTGTTTTTTTTACTTTCCCCCCTTTTTTAAATGGAGTGTGCTGGGTGTGTCTATGATTCTGTTCATATGACTGCAGAACCTGGAAACGCTGTTGCTGCTGCTGATGCAGAACATACTGCTATTATTGGTCTTTTTATATAAATATAAATATATATATATATACACACACACACACACACACACACACATATAGATAATTTGAATTTTTGGAAAGTTTAGCTGTGCTGTCAACTTTGGAAAAGTATCCCAGTTTACCGTGTTGAGTTGGCATTGTACAGAAATTAACAGCCATATTGGTCTAGAAATGTTAAACTTAATTTTTTTCCATTTGTACAGGGGTAACTTACACACTGTATTAAATATGTAAGGTCTTATCTACGTGGGTTTGATTACAGAAACTAATAAAGTATTCTCTAAATAATGAAAAAAAAAAGTAAATGTCAACAATATTATTTCCCCAAAAAACACTGCTCATTTTAGTTGTCTAATTTTAATTAATGGAGACATTAATTGCAGTGATCAATATGTATGCTATTATTGTTTTCTAACATTTATTGAAGAATCCTGATGCTGACTCAGTAGTTTAAAAATTATTTTTTGTTGCAGGATTTTTATTTTTAGTTGTTTTGGATCTAACCTTGTGTAAAAGCACACTAATGTTAAACTCCTTGATCTGTATTTTTAAAACAGTTATTTTCAATTGTGAAATAACATTCCTGTAATCTTATGTTGAGCCAGGTTTTTAATGCTCTTATAAATAATTTTTTCTTGAATATGGACACATTTTAGGTGTGATTTATTTTTATTATTAAGTGAGTCTGATTTTGGTTAATTTGATAGGAATTGGAACTAGCATCTTTGTCTTTTATTGCTAAGGAGAAAGGAAGGAAATCCTCTGTTGCACTTGAAAATTAAATTACAGGTCTTTATTTTCTATGCTAAGTAAAACCTGTTACATTCTTAAGTGTTAAAAAACAGTACTGTTGAGTGTAGTGGAATCATGCTTTATAGACTTTGCTTTTCAAAAGATCAAATTATTTCAGGATGAAAAACCCCAATAAAAATGAGATGGATACGACCTACTTTAAACCTAGCCTAGTTATATAGTCTTGTTTGATAAGTAATTGATTAGGTCAAACTATTAAACTATTTAATCTGGCATGTATATTATGCATGATAAAAGAAGCAGAAAGTAAAATGTTCAATCAATTAATGTAAACAGAGTTATACAAGCTTGCCTATTGGTAGGTTATAAATCATTGTGTCTCAGTGGGGAAGTCTATTATAATTGCATAACAATCTCTGTGTTAGTTTCTTCTTTTATAAAATAAGCAAAGTATATTTGATGTCCTCAGAGGTTTATTTATAAAATTTAATGAGATGATAGAAGGTTTGGGGAAAAAGAATTGGAAGAGGTCACGCTATGACAAAAGAGGGGTTAATTTTCTCCTTGAGAGAACTAAATACTCAGATTTTTTAAAAACATTTTTTTAGGGAAAATTAATGCTCACTCTACTTTTTATAGATTTAAGTTATGATACAATATTCTTAGGCTACCAATTAAATACTGTCCCTCCCACCACAGGAAAGAAAATTAGAATTTTGGTCCCTGCTCAGTAGTAAGGAAATTTGTGTTTATTTTATTGAATGTGTA